AAGAGAAATTGAAATGGAATGCATCTGGAAAGCATATTCCTCGACTGCTGCCCTGATTACCCGTTGTCGCGCTCTGACAATCATGTACCAGTCCGATTGGAGGTTGGTAAGGATTTTCCTAATCATACAGTAACGTCCATAATCCTTGTAAGAACCATTTCAGTCTTAACCTCATTTCTTCGGTCGGCATACGCAATAAGCTTAGGGAAATTTCCCCTGGGTTGCCGTCATACCCAGTAGCGCTAAGTAGTACTCTCCTCTGCTAACGATCTCTTATTATATGTTCCTCAATCCAAAAACATAAGGCCTACACCCAGCAATGAACCTTCATACAAGGCATTAATAACTACTGACCAGTCGCCTGAACCTCCCGTCATCAGCATCAATAAACAAACACGGACCTCCTGATTAGTTGCATGGCACCATGGGATTCATACCGGTGAATATTAACAACACAAGCAGTACATTTAGCGAAGGATATCATATAACATTACACAATGATTTCAAACTTACCGAAACAAAACACGTATAACCTTTACGACGAAGCCAATAACATTTAACAACTAATACGTACTAGTTAGCAACCAACACCGTCACACTTAAACGTCGAACCGCCAACTTTAAACAATATACGTATTAGTTAGCAAACCAAAGTAAAGGTGACTTTCAGAAGAATAAAAAAGATAAGGACCATCTCAGTGGAATCGTAAAGCCTCATCATCGTCACCGAACAGAGTCCTGTTAGCTGTCTCCTTGCTCCACCACGCTTTACTGTAGTTAATCTTGATGCCAAAAATTAGAGGCATGGTCGTTCTGTAGATATCCGACCGCCACGAAGATTGGCCTAACTTTCACAAACAAGCTTGTATTTGAGCTAGCAATGAACTTCCCTGTGATGCCCTTGAGTCTCCAGCATTTGCTCCATGTGATCCGCCAGTGTCGGGTAGATCTCGAAAATCTCTTTATGACATGATAGACGAATTCTTGAGCGGCGGGAAGCGCAAACAACATCCATCAGCGCAACCATGTTGTGTGTTTGAATCGGCAATAGACTCTATCGCGTCTTGTTCAATTGGTGGTAAAAATCACCGACTACCGTTAGGCAAATTGAATAGTATTGAACGTGCTAATCTAACTCTCAGCAGCACTATCAAAATTTCTGACCAAACTTCACGTATGGAGGTGTCCTGCCACTCAGTTGGGATCTCCTGTTGTTTGTATTACAGCATGTCTTCCAGCAGCTGATCGAGTCCGCCGGTGGGGTTGTCATTAGGAATCATCGCCTCATTCATTTACAGGTTTGGGTGAACGGGGTATCTGCGCACGCGCGACATTTTTCTGTCGGTAATTGTCCTGAAGTATAATCAAAATTATAGCCCTTGCAGCGCTGATAAAGACTAACGCAAACGACTCAAAAACGGAAAAAAAAAAAAAAAAACCTACATTAAACGTAACAACCCTAGCACATATCCTTAACAACTAACCCTTATCACTTTTAAGGGCAGGACTCGTGACCTTAACAGCAAACGCATATACTTAACATCCAAACCACCATAACTTAGCAACCAGCTAGTATCACGTACAGCCACCACATAATAACCTTTAACAAGCCAAAGTGTGGCTTAACCAAATAACCTTGACAGCAAGCACATTACCAAAGCAAACGCATGCATGGAGGTTAACAACTAATGCAAACCGTATCAGTGAGATGACTCAAAAGGAAATCTGGTGAGTGTAATATTCCTACGCAGTTCGCGTACGCGCGTGTTCTGCGAAGTGGAGGAATTCCGCAGCGGAGGTGGCCATACAATTCGCCGTCTGTAATCCATTACGCGACCAGACTCGAACCAAATTTATCCTCCGTCACAATTGAATGCTGAATTTCTTTTCCCTTTCGCATATGAACATTCAGTGAAAGAGATTGCATTGGTATTTAAGCCTTTCCGCCACTCGATATTCAAGCTGATTATTTCTTGTATTCTCTTTGATACGACGGAATACACCGTCACCACCTTGTTGTGCTTTTGCCCTCCGTTACTACGCCATAGAAGAGATCCATCATCCATTTTATTACAGGCGGTGGATGTTGAAGAATCGAAGAGGCTTTTATTGGGATCAATTTAAGTGGAAGGAACCAACTTAGCTTGAAGCGGGAATATAGCTGGTGATAATATCGATGATAATTTTGCGAGGGAAATGGGAATTTCCCCCCCCAAAAAAGTCATTCGACTATCACCATATTCAATGCCGACAGTCCGAAACCAGATGGGCTTTCCGTCGTGAGAGGGCGACCTATCAACCATGCTGCGAAGGCGTATTTTGGCATTTCGACGGCTGTTTAATACGGAAGGTGGCCTGGGTGATTGCGTTTGTGGGGCGCTGGAAAAAGAACAATCGGGCGTTTTGGGGTAAAAGGCAGTTGAAAAGGTCATTGGGGGGGCAAGCAGCACGTCTGTGTTTTGTTTTGGGGGCTGGAAGCGCAATTTTCCCTTTTAATTGATTCCAAAACTACGAATACTCGTCTGGGTCGTCTTCAACTTGAGATCGAGGCCGTTTTGAGCCCCGGTTTAAGAGCCCATTTTTGACCCGATTCATTCTCACCCGTTTATAGACCAAATCAAATCTTTTAAAATCATAGAATTGATTGAAATCAGATCTCTAGCTCCGTTTGGATACCATGGTGTTTACTTGTTTCCATGGTGTTTTTGTCAAAAACAAAACACCATACGTTTGAAAACCATGGTGTTTTTGAGCTAAATCATCCTCAAACTAAAAACACAACACTTATTTCGAAACACATTTTAGGTGTTTTAAGTTTGGTGTTTTGGTTTTGAGTTTGAGAAGGTGTTAATATAATATCTAACGTAATATATTAAATGTAATTAATATAGAGTTATTATCAACATGCTTATTATATTATACTATACTATACTATATTATAGTTAATTTAATATATTAGTAATATTTATTAAATAATATAAAAATACAATAAATAAAATATCTTATATAATAATATAATAACATATTAAATACCAATATTTAATATGTTAATAATATATTATATAATAAATAAATAACAATAAAATATAAATAAACTAATAAAAATAATAAAAAGTTATTGATAATAAATAATAATATAATAATGATATAATAATATACTGTATAGTAAATATAATATAATATATAAAATATTAATATATTATATAATAAATAAAATAATTTATTTCTAACAAATGTTAATGTAAAAATAATATATTCATAATATAATAATATTTATTAATATCATAAATACTAATATATTATTAAAGTACTATTAATAAACTCTTAACATATTAAAAACTATAATATATTATATAATATTAAAATATTTATAATATATTAATTTGTTAATAACATACTAGTAATAACATAATATTAACATTAATAATAATATTATAGTATATGAATAATAGTATAATATTATATTAATAAGAAAATAATATTATTATAAAAATATTAATATAATATATAACAATAATAAATTGATATACCAAATAATTAAATATATAATTATTTGAAAATAATATGTAATAATTATAATATAATTTAACTCATTAAAGTACAATATAATATTATAATACATTATACAATATTATATTACATTACATTTAATACTTATAA